TGTTTATACTTATTGTGATGAAGTTGGGAAGTAACTTCTTTATATATTTCTTTTCTTTTTCTTTATGATATTCTTACTTTTCTTTTTTCTATTTCACTTTTTTCCTTTTTTTGTTTCTTTTCTGCATCTTCTACTCTTCATTCTATCTTTTTTTAGTTTGTATTAGTTTTTACTTTTGTCATAATCTTTAATAAGATTACTATAAAAATCTGTCAAGATGGATTATTTTTTTCATGTGAATCCGTCACTAAGGTTTTAATTGTGACATTTTTTGATCTTAAGAAGCATGTTTCTGCTTTGTCTCCAAAAGTTCTGTGTCACCCTATCTACTATGGTTTTTATCTGCAATTATTCAGACTGTAAATCATGAGAAAAAGAAAGCAACTCCATACAGCTTTCTTTCTGTGTTACTTTCTGCTATATTCTCTTGTTTGTTAGGGATAAATTTAATTTTCAACTCTTCACCTCTGAAAAAATATTATCCCTTGGATGAGGAAGAGAGGTGATTCCTGCTTTCTCTGTCTTCTTGATTTTAGACTGATAGTGTATAACTTTACAGCAGTAATTTAAATGAAGAAAGACGCAACAGTTTTCTGTTTATCAGTTAAAGAGTAAAGCAGTCAGACTATGAAGAGTAACCCCTTAAACTGGCAAAGCACTGGCAGCACAATTCATTACCAACCAAAGTCTCTTATTTGCCCTTAATGGTCAATAGGATAAATGTGTAAAGAGTAGATGCTTCTGGACTGTTGCTCTAACACAGCCATGAAGAAGGAAATCCAACTAAGATTAGATTACATCTAGATCTGTAGCTGAAAAACAGTTAAAATGATCAGGCTTGCAAAGATTAAGATGATGGCAGCAAAGATTTAGTATTTTCTGTACCTCTTGGCTCCAGCAGTTGTCATGACTTTTCCAGCCCAGATATGATAGCCCTATTCTAGTACTTATACTAATGAACTCCAGAAAACTACCACACTCTAAGACTTTGGTTGTCCAATATGGCTCACAATGAATCAAACACTGAACTTCTTATATCAGAAGTAGCCGGGAATAAAGGACAGAATGCTCTTTCAGATAGATTTCCAAGAGGAAGAGAAGCAACTCCCTCCCCTCCAAATCTATCAGGGTACTGGATCTTGAAAGGTAGATTTAAATGCCCCCTCTTCAATATACTTTTTTTTCTCTCAAAAACAGACCAAAAAAACCCCGTGTTTTAAAAAAAGTATTGGTTAGGATTACTTTTTGATTAATCTCATAAGCAGAGATATCACATCTAAATGGTTTCTAAAATAATCAGCCGCCATATATAAGAAATGAGTTAAATAGACACATATAGGCTTTACATAGCATCTCTGCCCCTCTGATCTCTTGGCGAGCATTCATATCTAAGAATTAACCAACAGTACCAGGCCTTGTCCAAGAACACGCTGCTTCTTTTAGAAGTATGGCTGCATTCGATGAACATGCACAGGGCCTGTCCTGGAAAGTACATCCTTGCTCCATTAAGTTCATTGCATGCGTGGAACCCCTGGAAACAGCTAGAACAACCTTCCTCAATCTGGTGCTCTTCAGATATGTTTGGGCTGCAATTCCTACAATTTCCATCCACCCTGAGATAATTTGATTCCCGGGCCAGGAAGAGTCTAGCTCTGAATGAGTGCCTGAGTATTGGTTTCCTGGTTTGATCTCCGGTATCCGGAAGTTTGGAACCCAAGAAACGAAGGAAGAGGATCCCTGCCCATACTCACCTTACATTTAGATATAAGAGGATTTGTTACATTTATGCACACCTTCTTTACTGGCTACACTCCTATGTCCTCAAACAGCCTGATATATACAAACGGAGCAGCTAATGTGGAAACAGAGGCTAAGAAAAGCCACTCAGAAAAAAAGAAAGAAAATAGGCAACTCTACATCTGCCCGCTAATGATGTCCTAGAGAGATTCCTTATCCAAGTGATGGTAGAACATGAGGATGGAGCTCCTATGAGGCTTCACCTATGGATTTCAGATTCCTCACTAATGGGCATGTAATTTGGCAAGCTCCACAGCTATCTGAATATTGAAAGGATCATAAATGACATATTTCACTATGTCATAACAGCATCCTGGCAACCTGATCTGACCTGAATCATTCTGAGATGAATAATAGTGAGACAAGGAAAGAGCTATTAAGTGAGCTTTTTGGAGGCACTCACAATGTTGCCGAATATGCACAATCAGGCAAGTGTTTTAATACAGATTGCTATAGAATCTGTATTGATACTGGGTAGAAATCTAAGCCCACCAACACCTGAAAAGATATTCTAACTTGGCTGCATATTTCTCAAGGTATGGGCTGATTGAGGATGAACTTGACTCACACCAATCTGCAGAAAAGACTCAAATTCTTAGATAAACTGACAAAAGATAATATTAAATTGAGATGGATACGAAATGAGCAATACAATCTCTCAAATCTCCAGGTAGGAATGGAAAAACTCCCACATGAAACTTGAGTCAGCACAACTTGACTGAGTTGTGAATTAGATGAACTAAGGAGTTACATCCTTAAGAGGGACTTGGTGGGGAAAGCTGCTATAAGCAAGTCTACTTTTCTTAATCTAACAAACAAATAAGTACCATTGATTTTACAAATAACTCACAGAGTTGTGTACACAACAAAATTAAGTATAATATGAAAAATAATTCTAAATAAAGGCATACTTTATTTGTGAGAAAAATCATTCTCTCAGAAATAGAGTCAAACACTTGGCAATCTTTGTCCCTTGTGCTGCATGAAGTTTTTAATGCCGATTGCTTCTGCACTTATTTCCCAAACAGAAAGAATTTGAAGAATTTCTGAAGAACGCGGGACCCCGCCTTGTTGTGGTGGACTTTACAGCAAAGTGGTGTGGGCCTTGCAAAGTGATTCGTCCTTTACTTCATGTAAGTGACACCAGAGTGCAACTTCTTTTGTGGTGCTATTAGTCCCCCATCTGTGCCTGTCTCCCTTAGCCATAGGATGCTGCCTGACACCAGGCCATAACATTGTCAACCCACCCTGATATTGTCCATTTTATGGCTGCAGCTTTTCAGGGTATCTCTCTTGCAAATGTCCTTCAACCCAAAGTAGCCTGAGATTGAACCAGGGATCTTCTGCATACCAAATGTGTATTTGGGACTTCCAGATCTGGGCTGTAAAACTCTGTATTTCCTTGCTGGCATCTAGTTGTCCTTCGGACTCTGCAATCTTGAACTGGTAGCTGCAGCGCAGAGATTTTAAAACTTTTTCAAGCCACAGAACCTGTTAGTTAAAAAAAAAAAAAACAGTTCCCAAAACTTGATCTGCCAAATCATGGTGTAGTGGTGTTCATGTTGGGGCAGGACTGACAAAATATGGTATGACATTGTGACACAGGCTTCTTCTTTTTGGTACCATGGTTAGGAACAGGAGTCTACAAGTGTTTGGCCTTCTTCCCTTTGCTGGAGGCACTTCCCCCCAAATATTGATTCTTAGATTCTCTCTCAGAACCTCTTATTTCTCTCCCCCCTCACTCCCTGCTCTAACATCAGATTGTAAGTTTCTTAGTCTTTTTGTGTAATTGGGTAGAGAGGCATAAACACTGATGCTGTTATAGTAATAATCTGAAGAACAAAAACAACTCTCGTGCAAGTGAGTGGAAATGTTGGAAATAGTGTACATTCTCTGTACCGTAGTTCAGACATCTGTTTGATATGGCACGATGGAGCCAAGAAGAGCGATGAGAAAGACATTATTTTGCTCACCTGGACAATCCATTCCACACCTAAAAAAGGCCCTTTTAAAAGCTACATGGCAAACAGAAGTATTTTTTTTCCAATTTAACAAAGATACAGAAGCATGAGTGGGGATGGGGAGGAAAAGATCACTGTTTGCTTATGTGGATTCTCACCCAAATCAATGGGAGTCCATGTAGTTGGAATGACAGCAGTGAAAATGTTTTTAAAAATCCCAAAAGTCAACAGCAAGCCGCTTTTGTGTTGTGCCAAGAAATCAACATGGAGGAGTCCCTGTACTTACTGGGAACTGAGCTGAATTTGAGGGGGACTTTACCCAAGGTGATTTTTAACAAATGCATGAATGGCAGCAACTCAAAAGCAAAGATTTTCCCAGCATAGGATGGGAGCTTTACTCTTCCTTGAATTGAGCAAAAGAGAAGAGGGAAATGCAGGAAAGTGCAAGACTCTTGCCAATGTGTATATTTTCCTAGTTTCTTTTTAGCAGAATACTGTTTGATGCTAAACATCTCACCATATCTGATTCACAGCTACAGGCACTCAAGGATAACAAGAAAAGCATCAGATGCTATGAAGCAGACCACCTGTATTTAAATGGAGAGGAAAAGGCTAGAGTGCAACAGTGGGCTTTTAGGAGACCAAGTATAGGAGAGATTATTGGTTTTAGTATATCAAAATATAAAATCCTTTGGATGATTTGGCTGAAGTATTTAAGACACAGTTGATTATCTGCCCCTTTTCCAGCAGTAAGGTGAACCAAACAAAGAGCTTAAGCCATAGATCCCTGAAGAAAATATTAAGCCCCGTATACTTATGTACATGTGACATGGAGCTGCCACAGAGTTGGTATTCTTGTACCTCTTCCATAAAACAAAGGGACCCTTGCCCATATTATATTAAATTTATAGAAACATTTAATTCAAAGAATTGTCTACATTTAGAGTTTATCCAGTTTTAATGGGTCTTTTTTCAACTCATTTTACCCCAGCATGCAGACACAATCCCTGACAACAAGAGTCCTACCATGACAGATAGGCCATCCAAGTGAAGGTAGTGATGGATGCCTGAGTGATTCTGTTATGCCTAAAGTTTCATTTTTAAAAATGCCTTCCTTGAACTGCACTGTATTGGATCATTTTCAGTCTCAAACATTCAGAAAGCCTACGACATTTCGCTCCAGAGGCTTCTGATAACAGAGATTCTCTATATCCATTTCAGTCTGATTATGGGACAGAGGTTACTTTGGTTAACTTGAAGTGTCAATCTAAATTGTGAACTGGACAGGGAAAGTGTACCTTTTACTTTCTTTGGTCTCATGTTCTCCTTCAATAGTGTCTGCTTGGGATGGGACTTAGTTCTTCTTTGAAAATGACTTCAGAAGGTACTGCCACTGAATTCTCTTTCAGAGTCACGGCTGATGGCCTCTAGTGACAATAGAGTTCCATTTTGCCCCCATGCTAGTTAAGACTCACAAAACCTTTAGATATCTATAGGGCCTGCATTTGTTTACAGGCTTCCCAGTAATCCCTAGCCATCTTCAGAAGTTTTCATGTACTGCAGGTCATCATATTAATTGATTAAGGACTAGTCATCCAACAGGCTGAATCACATCAGCTTAAATTTTTAGAAACCAAACTAATTAATAAATAGATATTATTCATGGTTTTTTGGTTGGTTTTTATTACTGTTAATTGTTGTGCAGAGGAACTGAGATCATAGTTGCAGGGAGAAAGATCAAATACCTTTATCTTATGTGCTATAGTCATGATCTGGATGGGGGGCATATTTATTTATTTATCAGATTTATACCCTACCATAATTATAAGACTCTTGGCAGCTCACAACAGTAACAGAGCACAATAATATCAAACGCAGTATTTTATAATATATAAAGTTGAGGATAAATAAACCTTAAGTGGGAGGTCATTCCAGAGGGCTGGGCCCATCACAGAAAAACAACACTTCTGGGCTTCAGCCCCCTAACCTCTTAAAAGTGGGGGACAACCATCTTGTTTTCTCAGCACAGTCAAAGTGGTCAGGCCAAGTCTTGTGGGAAAATGCCATCCTGTAGGTGACAGGGTGCCAAGCCATAAAGGGCTTAATGGGTTGAAACAAGCACATATCTACCTTTCCATCCCATCTATACATGAAGCAATATTTCACTCTAAACAAAATGCTTGTTTCAATTTCTTGAAATTCATTATGTCATTTGATCCACTGTTTTTGTAATTTTTCCCTCAAAGATACAACTTTATATTGCAAATAAAAAGGAGAGAAAGAAAAATCAGAAATGGAATTATACTGTACAATGAAAGACATTTCAAGTTTAGGCCAGCTGTGATTCAGACCATATTTAATATCTCTATTTTGTTCCATTTTTGTTCTGAAGGAGTTGGCTGTTCGATACGAAAATGTACTATTCTGTATCGTTGATGTGGACTTGGCAGAGGTGAGTATCTCAACTCAGAAGGTTTAGATCCCTCCTTGAGCAGCCTTCTGTAGCCCTAGTTGGGATGATGGAATTTCTAATCCAACATACTGTATTTGGAGGGCAACAGGTGGGAGCAGCTGTGCTAGAATCTTAACCACTTGGTTATAATCAGTTATTGTAACCCAACTCAACACTAGTAAAGGGGGATAATCAGAACGTTGAATGAAAGCAAATCCTAAACCTGATAGCCCGGACAGACTTTGATAGTGCAGTTAGGACATCCTGCAGAACACTGTCCAGTCAGTGGACTGGAACCTCTTTATATTGGACAGATCTCACTTAGAGATGTCCTTTTGCTAACTCTTTCTGTAAAATCATGTTTACAGCAATATCAAACAATCCTGTTAACCCCAAGTTATCTTGCAGTGCTGACATCATCCAAACAATGCAATGCTATCAGCAAGCCAATCCCAACAAAGGTGTGTAGTAGGCTTAGCAGAATCCTAATCACTAAGTTCACAAATGTTCAGCAAAGTGACTTCTGACTACAGTGATATTTAGATCTTAAGCAACGTTTTAAGCTATTGTCATCTTGGTAATATCTTATTCTGTTTCCTCATGAACTCTGTTCTTCAAGTCCTTACCATCAGCCCTGTGGTAGGCTTAAGAAGGAGTCATGTAACTAGTCTTCATTCCCTTGGCTGCTTCTCAAGGGCTCAGGTCACCACTCCAACCCTACTTTACCTGGTGACAATGGATGGCAACAGCAGAACATCTCTTCCTCCTCTTTCGTCTTGCAATTGTTGGCAGCAGTTTGACTGGTTCAGCTCTGCTTTTATCATCTGGCTGGCACTAAAGCACAATTTTGCCCAACTTTGAGGTAGTCTGGAACCCTCCCAGGCCATGGATTAATAAATCAAGCACCCATGAGCCAGCTATGTCAATGCTTATGTTAAGGGTATTCTAAAAATGTCATCAGTGATTATTGTGTGTGTATACACACAAAAAAATCAATCCTTATGCAAACCCTGGTGATTTGTCATTCACCCTCTGCAGGGAGCCCTGTCATCCTTGTAGGTTAGTAAGCTGTATAAATGCATTTTAATAGTGATAATAAACAGAAATAAAGAGAATAAAAAAGAAATTTGTATTGTAAGATGCAAAAAAAAAAAGCAGCAAAGAGCTATAACACAGTACAAAGACAATTAGTTTAGCCATATCAAATGTGAACATTCAAGCTGACGTCAAAATTTAGGGAATATTTTATGCAGCTCTTGACAGACTATATAAAATATCCTTTTTCTTTCCCATTTTTGTTACAAACATTTTTTTAAAAAAATAGTGTCTAGCATATCTGAAAGAGTTCTGGGACTTTATGGCATATGAGTTGATCTCTTTAACAGGATGTAGCCGTCCTCTGCAATATTGTTGCTGTGCCAACATTTCAGTTCTTCATGAAAGGAGAAAAGGTATGTGTGACCTAAAAGCACAGCTGAGTATTTTAAACTATGTCTAGATCTTCTGAGTTCAACATTTTTGTCCTGATTGTGCCCCTCACAGCTCTGCTTAAGGGAGAAAATTAATTAATTGAAAGCTAGCAATATTAAGTTTAGTGAATGAACATTCCTTATTCCACAATCAGTTGCTGAATCTATTGTTTGAATCATGGAGTGGCAAAGCCTCCTTACACAATGATTTCAGACAGGTAATGATGTCATTTGTTCAATGGCATCATAATATGTGTGATACCACTTACTTCCCCCTGAGGATGCTTGTACTCTTAGGGGGTGAACTTAGCTACGGTGTTATAAAGTGAACTGAGACTATTTTTTACAGTTGAGGAAAACATCAGTCAAAAGGCTTTGTGGGTTTTGTGTTCTACAGTTGAATCAGCAAATGCAATCAACAGCAGCTTTTTCTCTCAAATAGTCAAGCGATCCATGTTACTCCATTGGAAACTTTGGCACAAAGTAAAGAAAGTATTTCAGAAATTTATGAGGAGATGTCACTGATTTTTGCTTCAATAATTGCAGGGGCAAAAATGGTACACATTTATACATAAGGAGGAAAAATTGTACACCTGAACTCAATTACACTTTAGCTTTGTCATACTTAACTATCATCTTTGCACAGTACTTGACTGATGAACTGATAAACAAAACTCTTGTTGTACAGTTCTGGTATATTATTCCCATATTGCAGATATAAAGTTGAGTCTAAAACGCAAAGGCTTCCCCAAGACCATGAAGGGTTCCCCAAGACCATGAACATCTACAACAAAGATGTTAAAGAATTTCCCCATGGTCTCCTGGAAATAGATTTGGTGTCTTCACTCTTCCAGAAAAATCTATGAAGGGACAAATTCCAGGAAGGAATGACATTCACCAAGCGTTCACTTTCCTCCCTCTCCCACTTTTTTCCTAAAATGCATTAGGTGATCAGAAAGTGGTCTTCCAGCATTCTTTAAACAGTGTTTCTCAACCTTGACAACTAAGTTGTATGGACTTCAAGTCCCAGAATTTCCCAGCCACTTCTGGGAGTTGAAGTCCACACATCTTAAAGTTGCCAAGGTTGAGAAACACTGCTTTAAACTATACAGCAGTGCCGGACTGCCTTACAAAGATATTTCCTCCCATCTCTGCCACTTCCTGAACTGACCATGTAAAAAAACAAGATTGCATCCTATAATCTCAGAAGCTTCAGAGAATGGAAGGAATCTCTTAATAAAAAAGTCTATCAGCATGATATGTGTGCTGAGCTTTCTTTAAAGCTTAAAGAAAGCTAGAAAACATCCCCTTGCCAAATGACATTTTTTAAAAATAAGATAGTCTGATTAATTTTTCTATAGATTTGCATTTTTTAATACTTAAAAAAACATTAAATTAGAAAACTGCCCTGGTTTACAATCCTAGCTGGGAATAATCCCATTAACTTTACTAGAACTTATTTTTTAGAATACATGAATAAATTAAAATTTTGAATTCAGGATAAAAACAAACTCTCAATCAATTTCCTGATAGAACCAGCTTCCAAACTTGATTCATTATTTTCCCTCATAGTTCCTATGCTTATTAACAGCTGTCGCATAACTCTAATGACACTTCTGAGACCTTTCTTCACCATTTATACATATGCATGAATATTATTAATAGAGGAGAGAAGGCAGAAAACATCTATTTAACATAAATAAAGTTCAGCAAACTCATACATGTCATTCAAACTGCATCCTGGGAGACACGCAGGTTTAAATGTCATTTAGGAAAACCACCTTTGATAGTGATTCAGGGTACAGTGATTCAGGGTACAGTGATACTTTGGGGTCTCTTAAAGTGTTAGTTCAAGTGTTAAGTAGCTTTCCTGCAGGAGTGCAGCCTAAAAGTTAAAATGTGTTAAGAAGAGGCATGGAGGAGTAGGGGTAAACTTTGGCTCCCAAACACATCGATTTCTGCTGGAAAATCTGGGACACATAACATAGTTCTGCAGCCTGCAGCAAGAATAGTTAGTGCTGGGCAGCTATAGCAGCTCATGCGTACATCTCTGATGTCCATCCCCTGGGGTTGCAATGTGCCCCCCTTTATTGGAATAACTGTCCAAGTCTTTTATAAAAATCAAAGCCTATCAGATGCAAGAGGAGAATCAATGGTTGGCAGTGCTGGGACTGCAGACCAAGAAGGTTCAGATTGTTATCTGATCGCAGCTTTCACCACTGTGACACAATCAATATATCAAATTTTCATTGGGTTTTTTTTCTCTACTACTGAGTAATAGTAGCTATTTCTCAATTTGCATTTATGCACATAAAATAACAAGGCACGTTCAAAGAAAATACCTCTCTGAACCACCTTGTAAGGTGGAAGGCCACACAATCCCCAACACTGTCTTATATCTAATTTTAATATGTCTCTCACTGAGGAGTAGGAGAGGACAAGGTGAAAAAGGAACACATACATCACATGTATCCTTCTTATCAATCTAATGAAAAAGTAGATTTGCATACAAAGAAGTGACTTCCTAACTTCATCACAATAAGTATAAACAATTTTAGTAACTTATCACTTCCTCTTAAAATATAACAAATGATCTCTTCTTCCCATATCCCATCTCTTATCTATAAACAAATCCATAAAGCATCATCATTTCAGTCCTGGTGTCAGCAAAAGTCCATTAAGAGTTACCAGAAATAGCAACATATCTATTTTAACTTTGATCAAATAAACTAACTTATCTCTTCTTCCCATATCCCATCTCTTATCTATAAACAAATCCATAAAGCATCATCATTTCAGTCCTGGTGTCAGCAAAAGTCCATTAAGAGTTACCAGAAATAGCAACATATCTATTTTAACTTTGATCAAATAAACTAACTTTACATTCCTTCCTTTTACTTCTAACAATCTTAATCTTTGGTCCATTCAAATAATGTCTTAGAACTTTATTTCTTTTCATTTTTTCTTTGTCCCTTCTCAAGAGATTCTTCAAAAGTTTAGCAAGCCTCTTTTGTAAATCCAATGTAGGAGAATTATCCAGGTCACTCACTTGGTTTATTGTTTGTATATTCCTTTTAATTATTAAAACATTAGCCAATTTTTTTTGCAGGTGCAGTGTAGCATCTTTTTCCATGTCATTCTTGTAACCTGTCATTTGTAAATCCACTTTCAACTCAGTCTTAATCTTGTCAGGTAAAACTTGTTCCTCTTCCACAACATCTTTTAGACACAGTCCCTCCATAGAGGTAAATGTCTCTGTCGACACTATTAAAATTAATTTCTGGGTCCATTTTTCAAAAATATCCTCCAATACGTCCTATGTTAGAATATTTTGCTCCATTCTGTAAGTTGAGTTTATGTGTTCTTCTCCTTTAATTGTAATCTTTAATTCCCTCTAGTGTCCAATTTTTAAAACCTTATTTTTTTAAAAAAAATCAAAACAAAAGCATTTTCCCACGGGAAGGGTTCTTTATAATTAATTCCAAAATCTTATTTCAAATTTATCTGGACTTTTAGTCCATTTGTAACTTTCTAAAATCAAAGTTTTAATCACCCTTTTGCTATTTATTCAAAAAAAAAAATTAAGTTGTTAAATTTGTAGCTAAAACTTTATTTCACTAAGGACTGAAGGGAAACTCACCCAGTGCTGTCAAACATATTGATACAAAGGTTCCTAATAGCTGAAAACTAGTTAACAAGCAATTTCCAAAAGTGATTAGAAAAGGATGTATGCAAACTTAATGTCCTTTAAATGCACTGACCGTGGTTTGAGCAAGATGGCTATTCTCTCATCTCCCACAGCTCTAAACCCACCAGAGTCCACTATCTTATGGTCTCCTCACAAGGAGCAGCTGTGTGGAGCATTTGTGGGTGATCTCAAGTCCTCCCCCTTGTCTGGAAAGGTTTGTCAGCCTTACCAGGTAGACCAGACAGGACACAACCAGGTGAACTAATTCTATTTTATTGTAAAGCCACATTAACAGAATCTTGCAAGTACAATTTTGCCACCATCATCTTTATAGCCCAAGAACTTAGGAAGGGTCCCTTCTGAGCCTCTTCCTCCACCCACTATGCAGTTGCAGGCTATGCTGTCTCTTATCTGATTGTTCCCTGGGCAGCATCTCTTTGTCCCATCTCCCAAGGTCTTTCCCACATACCATTACAAGTTCAAAGAGCTGTTCTTCATTCTTTGCCACGGTCGTTGGCTCTGCTTTTCAAGGAGCTGTCTTTAGTCTGCCATTTCTTCCTCCAGAAGTCAGAACTGTTGATACTGTCATGCTTGGCAGTCCTTCTGCATTTTCCAGAACTACTTCTCTAATCTAGTCCAATTTCCTTCCCCCTGGTTCTGGCATCACACCGTTAAAAATCACCAGTTTGAGAAGACACAGTCCTCACCTGCTTTCTCCTAGAAGGGCCTAGTTTCTAAAGAACCTGCAGGCCAGGCGACTACTGGCAAGGTTGCATTATATCACTAGCCCCCTCCCCATTGCCCAGGAAGCCAGGAGGAGGTGTAGCTTGACCACTGTATCCAATCACTGAGAGACTCTTTTCCTTAGAAAACTAGTTATGGAAAATACGTGAATTATCTCTTTTTTCCACCTAAAAAGTCATTAACTCACCCATTTATCCAGTTACAACCCTTGTGGGAATAAGGTCTTATTGCAGAATATCTGACCATAGAAAAAACTAGATCAAAGAGCAGAAAAATCTTCAGAAATGTAGATTTCCTTGATAGGGCTTTTCTTTTTTTTTGGCAATATAACACAGCATACTTTTAGCATAAAACTGTTTCCCAAGTTTTATTCATTGTCACCACTATTACTCTTTCAATCATAATTCTGCCAAACATCTTCCCAGGCAAATCAACAAGTCCCCTGTGGCTGGCTGGCTGGCTGGCTGGCTGGCTGGCTGGCTGGCT